AGAGATGCTCTCTGGTGGGATTTAAGAAAAAATTTTTTTTGAGCTTTTACCAGACAATTTAACAATTAATTCGAAAGTGTACTGCCATCAAGTAAACAAATTGAGTAATGTCATCAAACAGAAAAGGCCAGAATTGATTAATTAACAAAACAGGTGTAGTGTTTTACCATGATAATGCCAAATTTCACACAAGTTTGGTAACTGGTCAGAAGCTGTTACAGCTTAAATGGGATGTGCTATCACACCAACCATATTTGTCAGATAAGGCACCCTCAGATTATTACTTGTTCTGGTCGTTACAAAATTTTTTAAACTGTAAGGCATTTACTCAAAATGAAAATGTCAAAAATTACTTGGATCCATTTTTTGTAAGCAAACATCAAAACTTTTATAAACGTCAAATCATGCTATTAACAGAAACGATGGCAACAGGTATTTGACCAAAATGGTCAATATATAATTCAATAAAATATTTATTTATTATAAAAATATTGTTTTTTTTCCACAGAAAAAAAAAATGAAATTACTTTCCGAACAACCCAATAGTTAAAGCCTGTCAAAGTAACCTCTAAATGAAAAGCTATTATATTTGAAATTATAAAAGGAATTTTGTGGCTCAAACTCAAAGGAATGTGCAGTTTACTGCAATACTGTACATAGCTTGAAGTCTATACAATGACCCAATATGGTAGCTCCATAGGGAACATTGTTATCCTGACCTTGTGTTTATAGACCTTAGTCTGTGTGCACCACTGGAGAGTGGTAATCAAATTTTGATTTTATGGGCTCTGATCTGCCTCTTAAGGCTTTTAAGGTTGCAGATTTCATCTAGTGTGCCATTGACCTTATAGAGGGGCATTCTGTATTGAAGTGTTCTATGGTCTGAGGGCCTCCAGTGGCAGGAGTTTTCTTTACACTTTCACTTGTAAAGAAGTTAATTACAATGACTTACTCCATTGTGAAGGAAATATAGAAGAGTGCTCTTTTAGGCAAACTGATCACTTATCTGATGTTCTGTTAAGTGGACTTGACTGTATATGTATATGAGGGTTAATTGGAAAATAAGTTATCCATTTTTGCAAAATTAATTTGAGAAGGAATAGAATAATGTGGATTTTGAAAAGCAATAAAAATTATTTTACATACACAAGTTCATTTTTCCAAATGTTTAATTCAGTTTTGCATTCTGTGCATAGAAAAATTTTGTTTTCCCAATCCATTCTTATACAGCAACTTGAACTTCAGCATCCGAATGAACCTTTTTAGTATTGACCTTTTTACACCCACCTTATCATCAGACTTATTGTCTGATGATAAGGGTCAGAATAATAAGTCTTTTTGAGTTTTTAAAGCTAGATATCCAAATGAGTAATTTCACCTTTTGATTTAGATGTTTAAGCTGATTGTATTTTTTATCATGTGAATAAAACAGCCAATTAGCAATGAGTGTCATCAGGTAGTTCAGTGTCTTTTTCGACAAAAGGCTTGCTGGATTAATGCAACTGAGAAAGTAATAGAAGTAGTTTGCAATTTTCCTGAAATTTTTGATAAAAAGAAATGGAAACTATAAAGATGAAAAGCAATAAAAATAATGTTAAATCAATGTTTTATTTTCTTTCTGCTACAAAGAATAGGTATGTCACTAAAGATAAGTGCATTATTGTCCATTTTTGATTTATTATTCTTTCCACCATATGGTGTACAAATGAAGTTTAATGGATATCACTAATGGAATTTTCATGAAAGTTCTGATTATACAGAGGCTTGGTGTGATAAAATACAGGGCTGTGGAGTTGGTAGACCAAGTCCTGGACTCCAACTCAGAATTTAAGATATGATTTCAACTCGTGCCTCTAATAATAATAATTTAAAATATACTTTGATTATATTTTTCCAGAAAAACATTTTGTCATTACCAAGTGAATAATCAGGCTACTTTTTAAACATTTTTTTAAAATGAATCATCATGCATTCTGGTTAAAACTGAAAGTAATTATCTTTCTTTATAGTTTTCCATTATCACCAATATCATCATCATCATCAACCATACATTGATGTATGAAATGTTTTTCATTTGTGGTTATAGTGAAAAATACTGAGAAACACTAGATTTAACCAGGGTCTATTTAATGATTTATTGTTATTGAATCCCTAGAAGAGGGCAATTTCTACAACTATTTAGGATTCCAACAGACCAAACTAACAGAACAACAGTACATATACAAATAAAGCAAAGATTAATTAAAAAATACCTAAATAGGTAAAACACTATTCTCAGAACACAGTTAAAATTATAAACACACATATTGTTCCAGTATTCATTTATTCTTTGGAGTTATACATTGGACTCACATGGATCTTGAGCAACTCCAAAGGAAAACAAGAACACTTAATATGCATACAGATCATCATCATCCTAAATCTGCCATAGAAAGAGTAAAGGTTTTATTAACATGCACATGCCTCCACATGAATACAGCACATAAAACAGCCACTAGTATTGCTCCAGAAAATGAAAAATTTGAAATTAACAGAAAAAAGTTATATGACAGTACTAGACTGTGGTTATACCTTGCAATTTCTAGTCATATAGGCAATTGCAACCATGTTGGCTGTTCCCAATAACTAGTAAGCCCCTCAAATCCTGCATGACTACAACTGCAACTAGAAACAAAGTTTAGATGTTCACAGACACCTTCTGTACAGTAGATATGTTTTTTGGAAAAACAATGTTTTTGATCACTTTCAGAGATCTTCATCAGTTTATTATACATTTCCATAAATTGGATGCTATTATTCAAACAACTTCTTTCATCACAGGATACATTTTGTTCCTTTTACATTCAAGCCAGAGAGAAACTGAATTTTCCGATTTAATACAAAAGGAACAAAGTGTATCCTATGATGAAAAAAGTTGTTCAAATAATAGCATTTGATTTATGGAAACATATAATAACCTGATGAACAGCAGTATGTTGATGACAATTTTCAAAAGGGACCAATGTGAGAAAACCAATTTTTCATACATTATGACAATTATTATGTAAACACTTGGAAAAAATTAATTTTATTTGCACATTATAATTAAATACAAGGAATTTAGGGGAGGACTAGTATAGTTCCCCTAGTCCATTTTTTAGCTCGCCATTACTAATGAAGATCTCTGAAAGTGATTGAAAACATATCTGCTGGAATCAGTATGGAAGGTGTCTGAGTATTTATATTATTTTCCAGCTTCTGAGGAATTTTTTTTTTAAGTTTTGATGGTGCATTTGCAATTGGTGCAAATAGTGTTACCACCTATCTGGTTTTCACCCAAACAGTCCAGGAATTGACTCACTGTCCGGAATTTCGTAGAAATTGTGAAATTATGATGAAACAAAGTTCTTGCAAATATTTTTACAAATTTACACTATTTTAACAGTGAATGAACTCACACTCGCTGAAACTCATCTGCCATTCTGCCATGTTCATCTGTTTACGTGTGGTGTGCAACCTGTCAACCTTTTTTTTTTTTCATATATGATCACGTACACGTCTATGTACACGTCTACGGGCTAAGTTATCTAGCACATTATTCTTTGCATTGTAAAATGACATTGTGCATGTGTCAGGAACTTCTGTTCGAACAAACCAGACCTGCCATTTGGGTCAGCAATTTTGAAAAGGTGGCAACAGTAGGTGCAAATAGAACAATGCCTTTGTGTCATGTCATATAGTGGAAACTTTGAAAATAGTTATCATTATGATAGAAAGTGAGAAGACTGGTGTAGCTTTAGAATTGAGATTGATCAAGCTGATTTAGGCTCACAAATACCTGTGAAATTTTAATTCTTTGTTTTATTGAAGAAAAGTTAAGAGAGTACAGGCATAGCATGAAATAAGCAAGTCTTAGTGTTGATTGTATTTTTTAGGTTTCTAGACATAAAATGGTGTTTGTTTTTTGTTTAGTAAGAACAATATTACTGTATTTTAAATATAGCTAAAGAATTAAGTAGAAAGTAGCATCATTTGTGGACAACATTCCTTTGCATAAAAAAAAAAAAGGAGAAGATAGCAAGCAAAATGGATGTTGGTTTATTATAAGGTCACGTGTTTTCACGTTGCAATGCTAACAACAATCTGACCTTGACAAGACATGCAACTTGCACTCATTGCAGTTGCCTGTACAACTGGTGTGATCACTGCTTAATGTAAATACAGCAAAAGTGCTAATTGCAAACTTGTAAAGAATGTATAATTAAAATGGTCTAAAATTCTAATTAAATGTATATAAATAAATAAATTTATTGTATCTAAATATTAAATGTGGCCCCAAAACAGATTTTTAAAACATGATATGTATTGTACACAAATAATGGCAGAAATAAAAGTACGAAATTCTAAAAATAACTTAATCCATTTAGGCTAAAAACCTAGTGTTGCACTGTAGTTTAGTGCAGTTACTGAAGATATATTCTGCAATCCATTTCACAATAATTTTGAACTTTATAAATATCTGATGTTTGAATACAAAACTGAAGAAGCTGACATGAAGAACTTAAACTTAAGAATTATTAAAGTGATCACCAATCACTTTTTATTATTAAGTTTAATAATAAAAAATTTTCAGGATTTTTACATCAGTTTGTGTTTGGCTTAATTTGTCCCTGATTTAGTGTACATTGGCATAAGATTCACAATGGTTGTACTACTATTTTCACAATAATTATCTGAAGAGTAACTTTTCTCACTATACTACATATGAAACTATTAATTTTCAATTCTTTGTATTAGATAATCTAATTTATTTTTTAATATTGTAAATTTATATTTCATTTTTGGTAATATGTGTTACAAGATTTTGTTTGATATAATATCAAATCTGTTAGAATGGAAAAATAAAATTAAAAGTAATTCTAATTTAACACATAAATATATGTTTTTTATTTTAATACTTAAAGTTTAAGTTAGTTAATATAATTGGTTAATTTTTAAAATTGATACCTTATTTTAATTAGGTAACAATGAATGAAGGGAAGTTTGTAAAGTTAAGAAAAAATTTGGAATACTTGGAATGTCCACTTTTAGGGAATGGTGAAGATTGGTGGATGAAAGAAATTCTTATTACATCAGAACAATACAAACAAGAACTTTTAATATTTTTATTGTCTAAAATTGATGAAAATTTACAGAAAGCATTAAAGGAAGAAATAAAAAATAGTTTTTCAGATGGTTTGAAGACAAAATTGATAAATAATGCATTGGCATCTCTTGGATTACAGAAATGGGATGAGTCTGGATTCCTTGGTAGTCCACCTACTTTTCGGCAACAAATTCTATTTTGGGAACAGTTAACAGACCTAATAGTATTGCAGGAGCAACGGACCAAAACGGCATCAAATCAGATGAAACACTTTGATCAACATTACAAGAATAATCAAGCTTTCTTGAAAGAAATTGCACAACAGACTAAAATTTCTAAATTATTTAATACAGAAATCTCTCTCTTGCCACCTGATATTACTAAAGAAATCAAAAAACCTCCTGCAAAGAAGAAAGTGAAAAATTTTAAAGACGACTTACAAATTTTAGAGGAAGATTTAGCCAAAGTTAATCAGCATCTTTCAAACTTGCAGAAAGACATTTTGAAAACAGAAAAGAACTGTGAAAATTCAGAAGAAAAGCTAAAGCTGTCACTCCAGCAGTTTTATCAAAGTATCTCAGAATTTAAGGATTGTTACAACTGTTTAAAACCATGGTTTGAAAAATCTGTACCGGAATTAGTCGAGTTTGGAAACAAATTTCCAATTATGTATGAACTTTTAAACCATTGGACAAATTTTAATGAAATGTTAACTGTGATCATTCAAAGTTCATCAAACTTGAAGCAATCCAAATTGGATTTAAAACAAAACAAAAATAGAACATTCACTGATCAAATCAGTGAATTAAATAACCTGTTACAGTATGTAAACAAAGGTCTACAAATGAATACAAAATCATATTTAGAGTATTAAAATAGAATTTAAGGTTTTTGTCAAGTTGCAATAACAATTTTCAATTAATTGCTTTAGTTGATCTAATTTTATTCTTTAAAAAATTAAACTAAAGAAAAATTAAAATATTCTGAAATAATTTATAAAAAAATTTTCAATTGATTGATTGACTTTCTTTCATAAAAAATTATTTCAATTGTTTATGTGCACATTTATGCCATATTCATCTATTTAAACAGTTTTGCTTTGAAATTGTGACAAAATTAAGCAAATTTAATTTTTTTTTACAATGGTAATAAAATTTTGCTATCACTAATAAAAATTAATGAAATAAAAAAATATATATGCTTCATATTACACACAAGCATTGCATCAACAAAGAATGAAATAATTGGTATGTGTCATGAATTATCTGAAAAATATAGAGTAAAATTTGAAACTATTCGAACAAATATTAAAATTAATTAGTAAGAGAAACTATTAAGGTAAATATATAAATAATATAATTACAACATGCATCATTGAATTGACTCTTCAATAATCTGACTTTGATAAACAGTAAAGATTAGATATAATAGTAATTGAAACACTAACTACACACAAATAATAACATGCATGTAAACAACCAAGCCTGAATTATTCCAATGATCAAATGATGTGGCTGGATTAATTTCATAGAATTCTACTAAATTAATTAACCAAGTTCTAGCTCAATAGTTAATCTGGCCTTATCATTTGATCTTTAAATTTAATGATTATTGTTACTATTATTGATATGCATTTTTCAGAATCTTTAAAAACAAAAGAAACAGACCAATCTATCATTGATTATGCCATGGTTCTTAATTAAGTAGTGTTTCATGAACTTGTTTTGCGTGTTTTGTAAAATTATGAAAGTGACAGACTATTTCTTACACATTATGAATATTTTTTACTGTTTATACAGTGTTATATCCTTTCCAAAACTCGTAAAGAATAATATGTCTGATATGCTTTTTATCCAAAGACATTTTGACTCAATTTTATTCAAATGAAATGTGAAGTAAAAAGTTTAAAACATGCTTCTAAACAAAGAATAGAATCTCACATTAGTAATAATCTGTTAAATTTCACAACTGTTAAAATTAAATCACATATTTATGTTAAGTAATAGCAGCTGTTAAAAATATGCAAAACTTTCCTTTTAGTCCAATAGAAGGAAATTGTAATTTAACAAACTTTAGTATTGTAAATTTGAAGTTTTAGAGCAGAGATAATGCAACTTGTATTTTCAAAAAAGAAGCAATCTTCTCTAACATTCATTCATTGTTTTGTTTCACAAAGTCCATTTTTGAAGTGTGTTTGATTTGTGTATTGTGTACAAACATTATAACTAATATCATCTTTAATTTAGATTTCTCATATATGAAACAAGTAATACATTTTTTATTAATAAATAACTTTAATAATTAAGGTGTGTTTCAAATTTATACGGACACGAAAAAATTAAAGTGAAACCCAAATTTGCTGCATTAATTGACAAATGTTTTATTAAAAAATAACATGGATTTACATGTTTCCACACTGCAAAATAAGAATTTTAATCAAACATTAACATTTTGTCACTGAAAATGATATTTTTGAAAATTTTGTACAAAAAAACTGTTACATATTTATCCGGACAGGTTTCAAATTGCAAAGTTTTCTTACAATTTAATGGCCAATGTAATCACCATTTAACTTAATTACATTAAATACTCGATTAGGCATTGTTTCAATTAGATTCTGAAGGAATTCAATCTTAAGTTTATCCCAAGCATCTGAAATTGCTGCCTACAAATCATGAATTGTGGAAAACTGCTTTCCATTGGCATAAACTGTACGAACCATCATCGCCCGAAGATTTTTATCGGATTCAGGTCAGGGCTTCTAGCAGGCCATATCATCAGATTAATATTTTTATGTTTAAACCACATTTTTGTTGATTTAGAGGCATGCACAGGGGCATTGTCTTATTGAAAGATCCAATTTGATCCACAAATATTTGGTCCAGCTTCCAATAAATGATCTTCAAGCATGCCTTGATACTTATCTGAATTCATTCTTTGAGTTATAAATGCTAAATCAGTGGTTCCATTGAATCCAAACACACCCCACACCATTATTGATCCCCCATCCATTTGGTGTTTTGAAAATATTTGTTTTTTGGTTCTTAAATCGTGCCAATAATATTTCCAACCATCTGGACCATCTAAGTTGAACTTTTTTTCATCACTGAACAAAACTTCAATCCATTCTTTGGACCATGTCATGTGTTTTTGTGCCCAATCAAGTCTGTCACTTTTGTGCTTTACTGAAAGTGGTGGCATTACAGCTTTTTTTTTTTTTTTAGAATTTTAACATTAAAGATTTATTTAAAACTCTCCACACTGTTGTGCTGCTACAAGGAAGTCTTATTCTTGTTTTATTTTTCTTACTGATATTGGTTTTGTGGAGCAAACCTTGATGATTTGTCTACAATCTCGAGGTGTAAGCTTGGGTTTTGGATCTGTCTTGAATTTTGGTACATCCTTGCTACGTCTTTTTGATAAATAATCACCAACAGTTGATTTTGGATGATTTATATATGCTCCAATTTCTCTTATTGACTTGCCTTGTGGTTTATAGGCATCAATCTGCCCTTTTTCATAATCAGATAAATTCTTTGTTCTACCCATTTTAGAACTTTGAAGAACATAAAGAATTTGTATTACAATTAGATATGTAAGGTAATTTGCATATTTCAATGCTTGAAACTAAACAATATTCTATTTAAGTCATGAAATGAGTGGCTGTCCAGATAAATATGTAACAGTTTTTTTGTACAAAATTTTCAAAATTATTATTTTCAGTGACAAAATGTTAATGTTTGATTAAAATTCTTATTTTGCAGTGTGGAAACGTGTAAATCGATGTTATTTTTAATAAAACATTTGTCACTTAATGCAGCAAATTTGGGTTTCACTTTAATTTTTTCATGTCCATATAAATTTGAAACATACCTTACTATGTCCATTTTTTAGTTAAAATTTACTATTTTAGAAAAAATTTTAATAGTGTAAAAGCCCGCAATGGATAAATTTGTTATTAAATGAAAACATGATTCTGAGGAAATTATAAATGATGGAGCAAGTAGGTGTAGTAGTAATGATGTTGGAAATGCATCTCATACAGAAGACAAAATTAAACATTAAAAATTAATGAATATTTAAATTTCAGTTTTACATGAAATTTAAATAAAGATGAAGAATGACATCTACAGTGTTTTGTATATGGAGAAAAACTGTCCAATAGCACAACAGTTGAAGCACCAGTTTACTATGAAGCACTCCAATCTTGTTTCAAAAACTAAAGATTATTTCAAAAGATTGTTGTACAGACAAGTTAAACAACTGAAACATTTTGAAAAAACTTACAAGCAGTACCTTATCAGAAATTTTATCATATAAGATAACTTTACAGCAATTAATTCAGCTAAGAGACTCTGCTATAGTATGGTTTTATTTTACCAGCAAGTAAAATAGTAAACACTGTGCAATCAAGCAAAAAAGGAAGTTATGAAAATTTCTCATTTGAATGACATAATAATAAAAATAGAATTAAAGATATGTAATTTAACAAACTGTGTACTGGATACTAAATACAATAAAAAAATTACACCTTTGTCAATCCAGCAAGAATTCTTTTTTTTTTTCAATGTCAATTCTATTTTTAACATTCAGTTTTATGTAATCGAGGAAGATCATTTAAAATGATTGAAAACATTTTTATGCTATGAAATTCTTGCTGGATTGATAAAGATGTAATTTTTTATCGTATTAAAAATATGTCAGATAATATTGAAAAAATAGAAATAAAATTTCCACACAACATTTTGCTTTACAAATTAATGAGTCCACTAACATTAGCAGTAAAGCTCATATATACAAATTTGTTTGTTTCATTAATGAAAATGAAATAGTGAATCAATTTCTATGCTGTAGAGTACTTACTGAATGTACAACAGGACAAGGTATTTTTGACTGTATTATATCATATTTAGAGAAATTTAATACATCATGGAAGCAGGGTGTAGGAATTTGTACAGACAGTTCAATGGTAGGTTCTATTAAAGGATTTGTTACCCTTGCAAAGACAAGAAACTCAAATATTGTTTCTATGCAGTTATTTGCATAGAGAATTCCTAATTTAAAAGCATTACTTGCAACATTAAAATCTGTACTATATCAAATTGTAAATACAGTAAATTACATCACATTGAGACCTTTAAAAACATGCCTTTTAAAAAAATCTTTGCATATCTATATGAGCCTGCTTTTGCACACTGAAGTAAGATGGTTATAGTGCTATGCCAAATTTTAGTACTTAAGAATGAATTGTTTGCCTTTTTCCAAAATGAAGGTACAGATGCTTTTGTAAAATGTCTTAAAAATGATATTTGGTGTACTTAAATTGCATAGTTAGCTGATATTTTTAATTACTTAATTAGTATTAATACAAGTATCCTGAGGAAAAATGAAAATATTTTGACATCCATTGGTACTTTTTCTGAAATGTTGACAGTTTAAAATAGGTAAGATGAAACATTGCATTTAATGGTTTCTAGATGTGGAAAAATAATGCACTGTACAGTAAGGATACAAAGTGTGAGTTTCATAAAGTTTTTCAATGATATTTCCAAGCCTTTCTCACACAAGAGAAAATGAGTTATGAGGCATTGGATATAACTTTAGGGAACCAAGGGGGTGGTGGCTTGAAAAAGTTTGGGAATCACTGCTCTGGCAGTACAAACTCAATGGGACCAGGCTTCCTTGCTCTCAGTTCAACTCTTATTCTTACCTACAGTTTTGTGTAGAGTACTCTAGAAATGAAAGGTCAGCTCACAAATTCAATTTGCGAGGTCTTTTACCTACAGTAGTGGGGACCCTGCCCAGTTTTCTAACTGAGCTAAGAGTTTACAAGACCTATAACTGTTACCATCAATTCCTTTAATTCCTCCAAGTTTCCTTTACTTGCTGCATGCATTTGAAGTACTTGTTCCAAAGGCTGTGACCAGTTGACATGGTTGGCCTTCTAGCAGAAGTACTTTGTATGAGGGCA